CTGCTGAAAAAATCAGTCTGTGTATTTGGTGTTAACACCAAACCACAGCAAACAATTAATGACCAGAGAAAACAACAGCCTTCCCCTAGGTGCACCACTCACCTCTCCCAGTGTGGCTCTTACCTTGGAGCAGCTGTAAACCTGCCCAGTGGGAGGGCCAGAAGGTGGCCAGCTTGACTTACCTGGCACTCCTGGGCTTCTCTCCTTTTTTGTTCTATGCAGGTTACAGTGTAAAGAGACAGCATGCATCCAAATTGTATTAGGTTGTCTTTAAAAAAAACCAGGAACTGTGAACATTTGGAGTTTAAAAGCACTTCCCTCCATAAACGTGCAAACTGAAGATCTGGACGAGTTATTATCTGAACCAGATTTCCAGAAGGCTCATCTCCACACTAAGCCAGAGGCTTTCCATCATTATAATCACAGGCTGTGTTTGCCTTTTGATCTAAGCCATGCTGAACTTCACAGACACATGTTAGAGGCAGAAAAGCCTGAGGCAACAAACTCTACTCGATGAAAAAGAAAATCCTTTTGTCTGACTTGTCTAGTCTCCCTAGGTGCCTAGAATTATAATTAAAGCTAAAGAGATATTTTCTAGATAAAATGCATGGCTCATTACTGCTTATAAGGGAAATGGATACTAGAAATAGTAGAAACAAAATTGCACAAAGATATTTCTGAGTTCCTAAAAGTTCCCATAGTTCAAGAGAAGGGTCTGATTCTTCCAGGAGTTAAGCATGCCTTTGTATCAGATTATTACAGATAGTGATTCCTTCACAGATCATAATTCATATTATCTCTTCTTTTAACAGAGGCCAAACTACTTAGTTGCTGACAAACACAGACATTTGTATACAGCTAGTTATAAATTGATATGCAAACACATTCACATATTAGGACTGTTAATCACAGCAATTCGTTCTTTTCAAATCTAGAGTATGAATAAATGAACTTTGAAAGGTTTTCGAGGTGGCTGGCAACCAGTGTCAGCACAGCAAGAGCTGACTATGCCTGAACCTTCTGATTTTCACCAACCTTAAATAATTCTGTCAGTGCCATTGTGAGGCAAACAAAGGAATATGATCATCCCTACTTTTACAGTTAGAGACACACAGGAGCACCTGCTGTAAAGATGTTCTCTGTGGCTGTTCCAGCAATTCAGATGCAAAGCCAAGAACACAAATATTGGCCCATTTCACACACCCACATGCTGTCCCCTAGCAATCCACTACCTCTAATCTTATGCCACATCCCACATTAAATGTAAGCCATATTAATTTCAACATTATAGGGAACTGTTTTGCAGGAATAATGGCCAGAGATGAAAACCTTGTATGGAAATCCCCAAGAGGGACACACCTCACCAGTTTTAACATATAGCCATGGGGCTCTCTCGTCTTCTATGTCCTCCCTCAGGTCTCATTCTTACAGTTGATTTCTCCTGGTGTGGGGCTGTCTTTTTTCCTCCTCAGCAGTGTTCGCTTTAATGTTGCGCCATTGCTCACTTGGACAAAAAGCTTTCTTCTACATAGACTAGCACAGCTGTGATCAGGAGGGCAAAAAAATAATAATGTAATGCATAAAGAAACACTTTCCTTTCATACCAACTGCAATAATGGGAGCTTTGTCTTTGCTCACTCATTCCCTCATTGATAAACAAACTTATCTGCTGATGACCACAGTCCCTCAGGCTGCTCAGCATTTTCAGAACAACAGCAAAGTTGAACTGGCAAAGTGCCATTTTTGATCTGCTGCATTGGGCTTATGCTTCCTTATCTAGAGAGGAGTTGAAAAAAAAAATAATCCTTGAGATATCTGTAAGGATACACTTTCAATTCCTGACACACAGGACTACTTGCTTCAACTTCCAGATCAAATTCTTGATCTTAGAGGGCTGGCCTCACGCATGAGCAGGGGTGACTACGGGAAGTTTCCATCTACAGTGGCTAAGCTATAAATGAATACTTTGTCTAAACCTATCACAGCAGAAGGATAAGATTTCCTGAGGTAAGCACTAATGACGAAACCTCTCTATTAATTGTGCATGAACTAACACCAATTTTGCTAATAGCTTCTGGTCTCAGAACAGTTTATAATGCTGATGTTTAATCTGCACAGGAAAAAGTACCTGCTTTTTCATACTTGAAAAATACTAGCAATGCAATAAAAACTCGGCAAGAAATACACAAGAGCATGAATGTAATGATCACTCTCTACAGGTAAATTTGTCTTCAGTTCTCTGCCATTACTTATGCTTTGTTCTGTAGAGAGATAACAAAGCATGGAGCTTCTGGAGGGACTTGAAATAACAGTGGTGTGAAGAAAACCTGTCAAGAACACAGACTTTTTGAAAATCCAAAGATAAAACTCACCTCTGTGCAGGAATGGGAATCAGAAGCCCAATGTGCCATCCAAACTACCTGAAGGGCCTAAAGCGGCTTTAAGCCAGAGCTTTAACTGTCTAGAAGCCTTGTCTAGACTGTCTACAGCGGTGAGGGCTTTATCCTAACTGAACTCCATAAGAAAAGGCAGTGACACTGCTGCTTAATTGTAAAGTTACTAGAGTTTTTTCATTACCTGAACGGAAAGCCAAGCCCTAGCTGTGGTGAAGCAGATACGCCACACAGATGTTTAAGAATACAAAGTACAATATGAGCTTTGAAGAAGATGCCAAAAGACAGCAATGCTGCAATACACAAAATTTTATTTTTAAGTTTTTCTTTTCTGAAGGCAAAATATAATAGAACCTAACATCAATGTATTTTGTACAACAAAACAGTTTTTATATGAGAACAGACAATCCATGAAGAGTTTTTAAGTCTTAGAACTGCTTCCCTTTTTTATCATGCTTTCTTGTGGTCAACAAAAAGTTGGCACAGAAGATGTCACGGCAGTCAGTCAGCGGGCGTGCTCCCTCAGATCCTCGTCAGCTGGTGCCACAGACTGGAGGGCAGGATGCTTTCTACTTTTTCCATCACAAAATTTAAAGGGGCAAAGAGGGTACTGAGAAACTGCAAAGAAATCAGATACACATTCAGATCAAAATCCAGGAGACAATATACCTCAAGAGAAAGCTGTCCAATAAGAGAAGAAACTCTTGCTGTGTTCCTCTGTAAAATCCTATGCATGATCAAAATTATATAATTCACATATAAAGACTTTCTGCCAAATTCTGAGCCTTGCACATATATACAGATTTATGGATTTTGCAGTAGAGAAAGCAAGAGTCCCATTTTTATGAAGATCAAAGCAATCAACTACAAAAGTTTTCACACATCTCACATTAGCCTAGATTCAGGCTCATACTGAAGCCACTAAAAGCTCAAATCAAAACCTCAAAAGGCTTTTTCATAACGGCAGAATCAGTCAGACTACCTCTCAGAGAGAAAAAGCATGTCTTTAGATTCAGGTTTAAAATAGTTCTGGGTTATCTACAGACCTTCTATATACACTGAGGCATCACTAACTGGAATTCATCGTAACTTCCTCCCTCTATTACAGAACACAGTTGGCAATGCTGAAAGAGGTTTCAATATATTAATGTTAGGATAAGAATATGTGAGAAAAAGCAAGTGAATAGAGACATTTTATCACAGGAAACAAACCACTGCCAGCTAGACATCTCAGAACTTAGGTCCTCGAAGCACTCCCAAAATTTTGAGAAAAAACATATTAACTGTGCTTTACATTAAAAGCAATTCAACTGTACACATTACATGCAGCTGTGTTGGGGCCCTATACGTGTATGAGAGAGTCCAGTATTATGCAAAGTCAGACACACTGAGACCGGGAACCCTGTGGCTTCTAACCATCTAGGCTGCTATGACTTTGCTAAAAATAATTCTGTTTGGAACTGATCAGCAAAGAGCTTCAAGAGGTTTGTGTTTCAGTTACTGCTCTGCAGTCAGCACAAAACACATAAACTCTGCTTACTGCACTGATGTATATGTAGTCTGCCTGGTAGGTCAGTATTAAAGCAAATCTGGTGCTGGACGTGTTCTCTTTTTGCCTAAAAGAACTGTCTCTCCTGACAAAAGACAGCATCAGACTTCATATACAAACACACACCTCTTTTCATTCTCTGAATTTGTCATTTTAGGCACTTAAAGGACTCAGATGTGGGGGTCTGATTCCCTTGTAGTCACTGAAGAGAACTAAGCACTTCCAGAGAGTAGTTCTACCCATCCCAGGACCAGAACTGCCCTTTGAAATCGTCTCTTCCCTCTCTACCCCCAGCTGCAGAGGGAGCCGGGGTGGTTGGGCTTTGTCTTCTCCTGTAACATAATGACTGAGGGACAGTGCCGGGTGCTGGCCGAACGCAGCCACGCTCCTGAACTGATAGCCCAGCTCCTGACACAGTTCTGGTCTGTGCCAGTTAGTCTCTCCTCAACAAAGCCCAGGCAGAGTTTGGGAACAGCACAGGTCAAGGACAGTTCCCTGCACCCAGGGAGGATGGGGCCATCCTGCCTTTGGAGGGAGGAAAGGTTAGAGGTACAGACATGAACTGTGATGTGTCACTTGCCTTTGGAGCCACAAGACAAACAACATTTCATTACTTAATATAGATATGTCTTTGGTCTCTAACTTAGGATGCCAAGTATCTGAAGTTAAACATGAAAAACGCAATTTAAAAAATTGTTACAGGTCTGTGTGCTGCCAAAACACAGCTACATATGGCAAATGTATTTAAAATGTTTCAAAATGTCAATATCCAAGTCAGAGATTATAACCATTTAATGGTACCACATAAGAAAATATCTGCAGACAGTTTCACTGTTTACCAAAATGGGCTCTGTGCAGAGTATAACTGTAAAAATGTATGATGCTTATGCACTTTAAAGGCAACAAAAGCATTCAAATTCTTTTTTTCCTCTTGGGCATGTTTGCATACGATACATACACTACATCACGGACAACTTGGCATCATGGGAAAACAAGGTAGCACCATCACTAGTAATGAGAATTCATCAATAAGCACAGGTCGAAGGAAAAACTTCTAACTGAAATTGAAGAGAGTATTTCAGTTGTAGTGCTAAAGGACAAGCTGTGTAACGTCAATCACAGCTGAACTGATGGAACACAGACTTAGCTAATCTTACAGTTTGCTATTACTATTTCAAGTGGCTTAGGCCAAGTAGAAGCATTCCCTCTGGTTAAGCTGTGAACTGTTTAAATAAATATGTCCCTTTAATTTTGCCAAATGTAAAAGGCTCACTAGAGAATATTTTCTGGTCTTTGAGTAGCACTTGATCTATGTGGTAGGTTTGCACCATCACATCTACTTGGATAAAACTCAACTTTGTAACCAGTACAAATTACATACTTGCTAGACGAATGAAACAAGAATAATTTGCCTGACAGTAAGTTTTACTGCAATTCATAGGAATTTTGTTGCTGAAGTAGTTGATTATCTCCTATAACAAACTCAGCAAAGTATCTGTAAGCTGAAAACAAGCCAAGTTTTTCTCCACTTGGAAAATTAGTTGGTCTAGAAAATATATTTACATTCATGGATAGCAAAGTTTGGCTTCACTGAAGTCTAAGCAAAACCTCTGCTGACAGCAAGAGGTTCAGAATGCCACCTGCTCTCTTTTATAAGCCCATGTAAATGACATCTGTGCTGGGGCTACCTGACCCTTGGAAAGCTCCTGGTGCTCCTGTCCTCAGACACCACTGGCAGATGCCTATCCAGCCTTTTTGCCACATGGTAGCACCCATGATGGCTTAGTCTGCATGATACAATTTTTTTTAAATTATTTTTTTGCCTGTCCTTTTGACACTGACTTTTTGTTTTTTTTCCATATGAAACAGAGAAAACCAGCACCAGCAGCAGAGTAAGAATTCAGGATGACAGAACTGGTGATGGGAGACCTGTAAAAAGCTTGCTATTACTTTTTTGTATTATAAAAGAAAACTATCAACTTGGCTATTTCAAAGCTGGCAGAAAGCAGCTTTCTGGGAGCACCTTCTGAATAGTACCATTTAATTAAAACAGATATGCAAGAGTAAAGAGCATCTTCTTAATCTTTTCCACTGCATGGCTGGTGTTTACATGGAGCAACTGACTCTTGCTCAGTTCCTGTGATCTGATCTACATGTTCCCTACCTCAGCATCTGCAGAGGCCCAAGCAGATGAAACATCTCCCTGGGCAAGCCTGCTTGCTGAACTCAGGTCTCAATCCATCATATAGGGAATATTGAAATAGAGCATGTCAGTGATCTCGGGCAAACAAAGGCATCAAATCAGAGAAAAATTAGTCTTTCTGAAGTTTCACTCATTTTAAAAATTTAACTAGGTACGACACTTTTAGACATGACTGTTGACTTGAATTATATAGTGACTCCCTTGTTAATACAGCTCTCAGTTTTATTTAAGATACATTCTTATTGCTACCATGTTATGAAAGAACTTGCCCTTACATATTATTTTTAACAATTTTTCAGATATTGTTAGATTCCTGCATGACAATGAAAGAAATTGAATAATATCCACACTGTGCTGACAACTTTATCCAGCTCATGCAATCAGAAATTTGTTCTGCTTGTATTCGTATCTTAAGTGACCCCCAAAAGCCTTTTGTTAGAAACCCTAGCAAAAATTAAAACCACAAGCTATGAACATGCTTCTCCCTAACCGAGGCAAAATGCTAAGATCTACTGTCATTTTAAAGTTACTTATATTCGGTCTCACAAAACAATCAAAGAACAACTGGATTCTTCCAGTTTCATTACGGGAAGAGTCAAGCTTGCTTCCAGGTACAGCATTACAGAATTGGCTGGATGCAGTTGGGAATATCTAAACTTGCAGCGTTCAGAGCAGGTTCTGGCTCTAAGACATGGGTGCACTAATGGAGTTTGGTGAGTTTCATCCTACGCTGAACCTCCCAGAAGAGGAAAGTAGCTTTAAAATACCTTTGACTTCTGCATCCAGCGGGGGAATGTGGGCTGCCCTAAGGGACTGTCACAGTGGCACAGGCCACCTTTGGCAGTCTCACATGTGGAGGATGTCCTCAGAACTCAAGGGATTTTTCTGCCTTGAGGAACCCAGTGTCTGGGTTAATGGGCTATGGACAAGGTCAAAGAAGATGCTACCTGGAGGACAGGTCAAAGCCAGTTCCCAATGCCCAGTCATGCTAACCTATTTAGTTTTTGTTAGATAAGGTAAATACCAACTTGCAGTAACATGAGCCTGGGCCATGATGGCGATATTACATCTGTGCAATGCTTTTAAGATTGGCAGGCTTAAGAGAAGGAATAATTTTGACCTAATAAAATTAAAGCACATGTGCACAGTTTCACAATGTAAAATTTCACATCACAGTAAGGACCAACCATACAGGAATAGGTAATTCAATGCACCACAGCAACAGTCAGCACCCTCATCTTTTAGCTGTATATGAAATTAGTTATTTATGAAATGATCTTCCCTAAAACTGAAAGGGAAGAGCCAGGGCTGGCCAACCTCTTCTATTCTGTTCTGCTACAGCTGCATTTCAAAGAGATGTCTGCCATGATTTTCTTCAATCTCATACACCTGGGCTACTTTTCCCAGAGGAGACAACAAAATGAACCTTCTGAATCAAAACCTTTCTACAAGCTGTTAATGATTGTCACAGGCTTAAATTCTGCCCTTTCCATGTACAACTAAAACTCAGCTGCTGCATGTGGTGGCTTATGAAGATTAAGATAAAGATAAAACAAGTCACAACACATGTTAACTGACATACTAACTGCACCCATTCAGGTTCAGAGATTTTGAGTAATCTTGATAACTTTGCACGTAATGCAGCCCACATTTCAATTCTATTTGTCTGTGCTTATTTTACTAACCAGGAACTTTACCTGCTCTGATATGCAGAACTTTAACCACATACAGAATCTTGGGGTATCTATTCTATTAACACCAATAGCAGCTGCACTTACATATCGGAGAAACAGACCCTTCTGGTCTGATTCTACTCCCCAAATTACTTTGGAACCTGTAAGCTCCAAACCATGGAGAAACAGCTACTAACACACCATCAGTGTAACTTCTGGTATCTCTGTGATTGCACTCAGCAACCAAAGCCAGATGAGTTAAGCCCATGCAAACGTGCTACCAAATTTCTCCAATTCCAGTAGCTCACTGCCTGTACAAAATCTTGCCATGCTGCCAGTGTGAGATACATTCTTAGTTCAGGATACAAGGCTGACAAACACAGGAACAAGGCTAACAGGGACAGATTTGGGATCATTAACTGTGACAGTATCAGAAAACTTCAGATGACATTGAAAGAGCCCACAAACAAGGGTCATGCATTTCAATGGCTTAAGGAAAAAAAACACAAAATAAGCTTTACAAAAAAAGTTTAAGATCATATGCCCAAGTTACTCAATTATCCACCAAGTGCCTATGTATATACTCAAGAAACAAGAGAAAGTAGCAATATTTCAGGTACATTTCAGCACTTTTTGCTGATAGAAGTGGTATTTGCTACAGCTAATCTTATTTCCTGTTTTCTAGAGCTAATGAAAGAAAATTCTTGATGCAAGAACTGTTGTTGTACCAGACCTCTATCACTCACAAACCTGGCTGGTAGAAGACCTGGTTCATCTGCAAAGGAAGTCTCATCATTTGCAAAGGAGTTTGAGGAAGTACTTACAATCTGGAATTTGCCAAAGTCTTCCTCCACTCCCCCCACTAGATCCCCCAAATCAAAAGCACCAAAGACATTAAAAACAAAGCCAGGTTTCTATTGCACTGGAAAGCATGGCACAGTCATTATGGCTCTATACAAAACAGAGGGGTTCTGCAAATCATTATTAGTTTATTTTATTGGATCATATATGAAAACAGAGACACTCAGTTCTCCCACCAAGCCTTTTTTTGCAAAATCACAAGAGAACTAGCCTAGCAAGAGAGACATAGAAAGCAGAGAAGATAGCCAGTAGTGCATTGTACTACTACCCTTAACAGTTGTTCAAATGTCTGCCTGCTCAGTCATCTCTTGATGTTTCATTTATACTACTGAATATGCAGATATTTAATACCCAGGAATATTTAGCTTAGCTCTTCCTGCATCTGTGTCTTTATTTACCAGAAGAGAGCAGCAGCAGAGAATACTCACGGCTTTTGCGAAGACCCCCATAAGCTCTGGGAACTGATGTGTCAGGAGGGCTAGCATGGCTGTGAAAGAACATAGTCCAGCAGTGAAGAGGATGAAGAAGGGAAGCTCTTTCTTGGGGTAAACTGAAACTTCATGAAATGCTGTAGAAAAAAAGATGGGAAGGGGAATGCATTATATGTAAAAACAAACAAAAAAACTCCACCCAACCAAAAAACTAAAAAACCCCAAACCGAACAACATTCTTACATGGTTTAAACAGCCAGAGACACCCAAAGATGCTTTTGAAGGAAGAAACATCTGAAGGTCTGAAACATCTAAGGCCAATGTTGTTGTGTCAGTCATTTCACTGCCAAATAATCCTAATCTAAAGATCATACTTCTGGCTTACTTTGGTCCTATGTATGTGTTGCTTGTGCCAACACTAACTGTAATGCAGCTGGGCAATAACTAATGCCAGAGAACTAACCTAGAAATAAAATATTCAAGTTTTTTACGCAGGTCATTGAGTAGCCACATGGATGCACGTTTGCTAATGCTGATACACAGAGAGTGCAGAAACATGCACCCGGGAGCTGCAGTGAGACCAACCTTGCAGAAGCATGGTTGTAGATCAATTTAAGCAGTCTGTAAAACTACAGCCTTTGTAACTGTAAATTCTGAGGGTTTAATCTGCAGAACCAAGAAAAGTTATCCTAAAAGTAGGACATAGAAACACATACTTTAAATTCAGATTTTCAGAATTCTATGTATACATATAACAATACAACAACTTTTTTAAAGTGTTAAAACCTGAAATTTCAATGAATAGTGAATTTTTAAGGTGTGTCTTAGTATACACTAAAAGGAATACAGAAATTTCCTCCACTCTGGTATGAAGAAATGGCTCACTGGGCTTTCAAGAAAGCAGCACTGAGAAGGCTGAAAGGGTCAGAAGATGGTAATGGGTATTTTACTGGAAGAATATATCCCTCAAACTTTTATTGTGGCTCAGATTCAAGGTGAAAATGTGGTTAGGATGGCAAAAGGTTTGGTGAACTCTTATCTGTCTGCTTCACTCATCCAGTCCATACCATCACGATAAATGCAAAATCTGGAGCATTTTTTCTCATGCAGGACCAACCTCAAGGCTTCCTATGTACTCAAATCCTATGACTATTTATACACACAAAACATTACTCTTCCATTTTGCCTACTTTCTTTGCCTCAGTGAGCAGCTCTCATCTCATTCTACCTGCAGACAACATCAGCACAGAGTAATCCAGCAACATGACAGGACAATATCCTTGACTGCATTCATCCAGACTGGAGTGGTTTCCAAAACCAACAGCAAATAAGAGCGATCTTTTGAGGTCCCTTCCAATCCCTAACATTCTGTGATTCTGTGTGTGTGATTATAAATGAAAAATATGTATGATTTTTGGGTCTGCTAATTAATTCAGTTTAAAAATAAAACCACAGATAATTTACTACTTCTCTTTGATTTAAATTAAATTTGGAGATCAGGAAATACCAGATCATGGATTTAAAAAGTCTAAGATTTCTTGTGTTCAGTTTTTTGCACTTGCTTTTGACACAGGCTCAAACTTTTTGTTCCCGTCTGTTATCCCATCATGGCAAAAGTTTTGTGATTGATATTTTTAATTCAGATAGCCTACCAGATCTTAGTGTTCTGATATAATTCCAGCTGACTTTCCTTTAAAACACACACAATTAAAGGGTGTGGACAGGTATGTAAAACCCTTTTAACTGACCCATGTCTGTCACGGTATGTTAAACCCTTCCCTACTCAAACCCAAGAGATTTTGCAGTGAAAGGCATTTCCCATAACTTCCAGAGCAGAACACACTGTCTGCATATGCTGTTAAAGAGTCCCTTGCTTCTAGCATTTGACAAGAACAATTAGTCTTGCATCTAAAAAGAGAATGCTGAGCTATTCTGCATGACTCTGTCGTTCCTAAAGCTCCTGACACTCCACTCTCCCCAGTTCAGAATCCCTCTGAGTAAAGTAAGCAGAGCACTCCAAGAGGTGTTGTTATAATTAGTGTGATTATAATAGGGTGGGGAGATATTGTCAGTTGCCAAGGATTTCTGTGTAATAACAGCGAGAACGTACCGTGAAGGAGAGACTTGCAACGAGTGGATTTTCGCTGTATTATTCTCACCTAATGTTTACTCACATAAACTTATAAAAAAGTGGCAACACGTTTTTAAGCCCAAACCAGAGAGGTTCTGAATGAAAAGACTATAAAGAGTGCAAATGCCCTCAAAACCAGTGTTCACAGCAGAAGCAGGCTATGGGTTTTTTTTTCTTTTAATTTTTTTTTCCAGAACAGATTTCTCTTTATTCCTTCTTCAGGATAGAGAAGGCAAGAGAAGAATCTCCTTCCTTGGATCAACTTGATCAACCTGACCCTGCAAACCCCTCTGCACCTGTGTGATCCACCTGTGCTCACACAAAGTCCCACTGACTTCAGCAAGAAAACATGTGGGAATGAAGCGTGACTGCAAGATTGGCTGCTTCAGCTCTTCCTCTGCATTCTTGTGCTTCACTGCACGCACTGCAAGAAGTCCCATTAGCTTGGACCGTAATGCTTCCCGAGGCCTGGATCTGTCTTTATAGCTGTATCTTGCAGAGCACTGGGAATGCTGTTGACACTTTGCTAATATGTGCCATAAACATATATAATAAATGACTGAGGTAATTTCACATCAATCTCTTCCTAATAGCACACACGTCGTTACATGAAGAAAACCCTTCCTTGCTATTTAAGACTGCTTTTCAGAAAATATGAGAAAAACCTGTCAGAATAGTAGCTGCGTTAACGATCCAGCAGTCCTCAAGCAGGTTTGATCTGGCCTTGGAATTTAAGTAGCTAGTGTGTCTACAGAAGACAAAGAAGGCTGTGCCACTGTGCTTTTGGTTTGATGGGATGTTACCCTAGATGAAAGATCAGATATATTTTCCAGTGTCTTGGCAAGAGAGAATGGCAAGATCTAACTGATTTGCATCTCCTCAGTAATCTCTCTCCCTGTCCCCACACTGTGAACAACAATGAAGACAGCTAATCGTTATAAACCATGGCTAGAAGCTGCCTCTTAAACCATCACGGGAGCTCCAGAGACTCACTGTCAACCTGATTATCCTAATCCAGGGTATTCAATTTAAAAGGCATCAATGGAGATCAGTGCTGCAAGACTCCGGTACATGATTCTTTGATGTCAACGATAAGAAGAGAAAAGTTGAACGTACATGGTAGTAATTCTCTATCTGCAGTTTCTGTACAAATAGGGTAAGGGTAGAAAAGGTGTCCTTTTTCCAGTGGATAGGGGATCATTCTGAAAGCTGAAAAGAAAACAACACCATGCACAAGTTACTGCAAGTATGGCAGTCGCTGGACACACTTAGCTATATTTACAATTTAGAAAAACAAACATAGACAAAACCTAACATTTATATTTGGTTGCAAACAGCACACAAATTGCTTAATGAAATGCCAAAATATAAAACTACACTTAGATTTTAATCCTGCAAACACTTATGTTTATTTTAATTCTTGGGAGAAGGTCCATGAGCATCAAGTGAGACCACATTACAAGTATATATATAAATGTTTGCATGGTCAGAGCCCACTGTACTTACAATTTCATAGCCAAGTTTACACATTTTGTTTTAGGCTTTTAGGCTGGAGAATTTTTAACTTTCAGGGGAAAGAAGTGTATTTGATATAACAAGTATAACCTACAAAAAGGACCAGCAAAGCTTGTGAATTCAGGCCAATAATTGCAATCTCTGCATCAAGCATAACAGAAGTTTTGCATGGAAAAAAGTACAGTACTTTTTTTCCCTATCACACTCCAGCAAACCAGATAACACTGATGACTCAAGGCCAGAGAACCAGTTTTCCAACACAGTCATGTTTTCATTTTATATTTGGCAATCCAAAATTAATACTGAATTATTAAAACCAGGTTCCTCACATGCATTCTTTTTAAATATAGCAGATCAAGTCAGGTTTCCAATATAAATCTTCCAGTCATGGATTAAAGAATACTTAATCTTATGCATTTTTAAAATTGAAAATAATAACAGAGAGGGAGGGAAATGGATTACTAAATCTGGATGGTGATGATGTCATAGGCCATCTGAGTGTGGTTTATGGAAACATCAGAATACTTGACTGAATTATAGCTTTGCAATCAAGGCACCCTTTTCCATTATCCTATATATTATTCTCACTGTTAAAATGTCATCAACATGTTATTCTCACTACTCCTATGAATATCAGTCACTGAAGCAATATTTTCCTCAACAGATGTCCTAGAAGCCCTGTATATTTTAGATGCAAGGTACAGCACACCACCACACGATAACACTCCATTATCTCTTGCTCATAAGGCAACTGAGGAGTTAGTTTAAAATACACTATACCCCAATATTTTCAGTTGTGCACACTGCATTTGAAATAATGTTAGTTGTATTTGTTGTCCAATTATATGAGTGCAAATATTCTTGATTACTAAGTTTAAAGCAATAGTAAAGAAGGCAGAAATCCTCAAAGATTGTAAACCAAGCTGGGTTGTAATGCTCTTGCAATACTAAAACCCACAACACCCCAAAAAGCCAAGTACAAATACAATAATCCAAGCTTTGTATGATCTTCACATGCAACAAACTTGACAGTCTGTACAAAAACATATGCAGAGGGATGTTCAATGCTCATCACTTCAAAACAATTAACACAAGTTTTTCCTTCCAATTTGGCTTAATATTTAAACAGACAATCAAGCCTTTTCTGCCTTAGCCTAAATCACAGTAGTATAAAGATTCGAATAAAAATAAAATGGGATGGTAAAGATGTTGCTTTTACAAAACAAGTGAAAAATGTCTGAATAGATTTTGCTGCATTTAAACAGTCATCTTTGACATGAGACCAAATATGGGATATTTACAGCAAAAGGGTTTATTTAGTAATGTTACCAGCCACGGAAGAAAGTGCTCTAGCTCATCTGTATCAGTTTGTGTTCACGTCAAGTATTTCTCTGCCTCACTCTTACAGTATTATCTGATCCTGTTTTACATTAATCAATTCAGGTAGCACAGAGGCAGCTTGCCATGCAACCATGTGGTCATCTTAAGAGCTACCGTAGCATTTGAGAACCCCTAGGTTATTCTTCATGCAAACAATAGAAAATAAGACACGAGTTTAGAAACCAACAGTGGTGAACAAGTACCTCAGACTCTTTGAAATTTGGCTACACTTGAAACTACAGACCTTCTGTTTAGAGCACCTGGTCCAAACCCAGAGCTACGTTTCATGTGTTGTCACCTGGGCTTTTTTAGTTGTACAATGCATAAAACTGCACTTCGACTGATCAAATGAAGACAGAGCAGGAAACAACTAACATTCCAGTTTGATTATGATTATTTTTATAACATCACTTTTCTCAATTGTTGAATGCAATTTGGGAAAAACGCTCTGTGAGAATTTTGGAGTTTAAAATATCACAAAGACATTTCTGCATAAATTTTGTTAGAGGCTGTCTTAATTAGGAATGACCTTATTCTCCTCAGAAGCATTCAAAATGTGCCCCCCAAGTGACTGACTTAACGTACTTAATTCTGGCCCAATTTCCACAAGGTCAGAACTGAATAGTGTATATATGCAGGCATTAAATTTCTACATACAAGCTACTAAGGGGGGACTTGTGGTTATTTAAGCACGCTGACAGAATAGTACACTTTAGAGACATGGCAAGTACCTAAATACCTAGAAAGAAAGCAAGGGCAACTGACCATGTACTGTATGTAGACTGTTGGTTAGAACTAGTATTTAATTAATTTTAATTTCTCTCATATGTTTCCACTGGTTTTAACTTGCAATTGCACAGAGATGCCGAGGAAACCTTTGCAAGTAAAGAACATGAGTGACATAAATAGTTCGCTACATCCATAAAGAGTATTATCCAGAGTAAGATAGGGACCAAAAGTTTTGATTATTGGACTAGATACTGGTGAAATGACCATATTTCCTAAGTGCAGGAGGACTGCAGGGCAGCCAGCCTTCTGTGCCAAAAGCTGGTCTTCTTTGTTAACAGCCCCTTAGGGACTCCCCAGCCTGACAAAGCAAAAGAAGATCTGTTCAGGATTCCCTGCAAAATACTACTCCATAATGATGTGATAATGAGCCTTGGGCTAAAGGACTTCTGCTAGCATCTGGAAGAGAAGAAACACTACATAAAAGCAAACCACTGAAAATAAGCCACTGGGAAGGAAGGTATGACAGATAATAACAGCCTGGGAGAAATGACAGGAAAATACCATGCAGGTAGGACACAGAACAATGCCGCAGAGCAAACCAGAGGTGGCAATGGTATGGATTACTGAGCAACATGTTCTATACACCTAGAAATAAAGCCACTGCTTCACCAGGGAGCCTACACTGCAAATCAGGCAAGTTTGGGCCATTTAATACGGTGACTGAGACAGTAAGTCACTTTTACAGTGGAGGTTAAGTGCATTTCTGAAGGAACTATCATGGTGACAAACTGTATCTTTTATAACAAACCTAAATGAGAACAGCAAATGGAGAGGCTAAAAGAGAACAGAAGAAAGCAGATCAGAAAAGGGGAACCAGATTACAGAAAGAAAAATCTGCATTAAGAAAAGCCCACAGAGGCTGATTCTAAATGGCACTTTTTAATTCACTAGACCCTAAAAAGAGCGCATCAAAGACAGGGTAAAATAATTTAGGTTAGAGTGTTTGTATACAACTCCAACCTCCTACTCAAAGCAGGCTAATTTTCAAAGTTAGGTCTGGTTGCTCAGGGCCATGCTGAGTTGAGCTCTGAGTATCTCAGATCCCACAACCTACCAGCAACCTGTTCCAGTGCATCACCACTCTCATTCTGAAAATATTTTCCTTTTGTCTAAATGAAATTTCTCTTGCTGCAGCTTGTGTCTCTTGCCTCTTGTTTTTCCGAGGTGTCCTTCTGAGAAGACTTTGACTCTGTCTTCCATATTACCTCTCCATTGGGTGGCAGAAGACAGCAAATGGATCCCTCCTTCACCTACCAGAAGTCTTTTCCAGGTTGAATAAAACCAGCTTGCTCAGCATCTTTTCCTACTTCACATGTTCCCACCCCCTATACATCCTAGTGGTCCTCCACTGGACTGACTCCAGTTTCTCAATTAAATATTAATGAATAGTATAAACCTAAACAGTATTTTATGTTTTTGTTGTGGGGTTTTTTTTCTGCTTATAAGGTATTTTCATAGTTTCCCAATATCAAAACATTCAAACAATGACAAGCAAATCTCTACAACTCTGGAATGAGGAAAGTAAGTTATTATCCCCTTGTCCATGAGTAAGAAATATGTCACACAGAAGATGGGAAATTTTGTTCAGTCCAAGAAGTCAGAACCCTTTTTCTCATTTAAATGAAATTTCTATTTTCAGTTTGAATTTTGAATATTTCAGTGCTGGTGAGGATATAACTGACCTCTAAAATTCCCACATACTGTTCTTCAAAAAAGCTATTATTTTCTCATGACATTCAATAATGATATTTTATTAGCTCCTTTGTAAGAAAGAGAATTACTTACTGCCTTCCCATGTACAGTGTAAGAGATTCAATGCCCCCTCTACTCTTTTCCAGTGTTGAAGATGAAAGAAAGCATATGCTATTGCTTCACTGTCCCCTCTCTTCAGAATATGTTCAGGAGGCAGAATCAAGCTTTTCATTTCTAGTAGATACTGCAATAAAAAAGCAGAGCACAATTATTTCAGAGGTAATAAAAACCACAAAAAGCTGCCTGCAATTCTACAATGCACACTGAAAGGTCTATTTCCCTAAAGTACTTTCCTTCATAAGTGTTTCATCAAATGTGTAACATCACCAACTGCACTTGAGGATAATTATTGAATTATTCCCAAAGACTAAGGTATGTTGACAGATGGTTAATGTTCTGCTCTTCAGCTCTACCAGGGGGACTACAGAGAATTTCAAAATGAGACATCTTTCTTATCAAAGGAGACAGAAAAAAGGGCTCAAAGCAGAAAAGACAATCTAATTACAAGAGCTTTTTAATTAAAAGTACTTATAATAAAATGAAGAAAGCATTAGGCAGTTTGATGCACACAGTCTTTCTATAAGGAAACACGCAGTACTCATGGTTTGTACACAGGTTTCTTTACTGCATTGCCATCAACCAGTTGCTAGGTCTATGAACATGCAGGGCTGGCAGCCATGAAGTAGTTACCAACAAGTTACAAAGTAAAAAAGTTACAAAATGAAACCAATACCTGATTTCCAGAAAAAAAAGTACTGGATGTTTAAACTTGCTACTTGAAATAGTTATTGAAAATTGTATGAAAATCAAAAGCACCACTAAAGCTTTCACTAAACCCACAAGCAATTCTCCCTGTTACTGGATCCCTCATAACAGAATTAGATGAAACACACAGAGGGTTCATGCCACAGGAGAAGACAGAGGTCCTGGACATTATTCAAGCAGATGAGTGTTCCTCATTCCCCAAGCCCACGAACTAGACCACTACCAGTCCAGCAGACGTTCTCTCACCACTGGTGTTACTACAGTCCAGTTAGTGGAGGGAAAGATGACACAGGGGAGGGGAAAAGATACACCCCTTGTTGGTATGCTTTACAGGGAAAGGAATGAGACAGAAATCACAGGCTGCCGAATTGACTCTAGTTTGTCAGTTCTCCTCTGAGAAGTGTAACATTTCCCAGCTGTCCGCTCACTGCTCTTCAATAGCATAAGGAAACTGTCACTCTTTTCCAGGGTGCCCAAGAGCAAATGTTCTCCCCACCAGAATATTTAAGTTAACACAAGAGGCAGCAGGTGAATCAGGCAGTAACTGTCAGGCCCTAACACAAGGCTTGGAAAGGAAAATTATGGTTAATCATTGGCAAAAAGAAAGTGAGTGTGCAGGCCATCCACTTCAGCAAGGCCTCTGTGCCTGTGCATCCATCTCTGCATTGGTCTGAAAGGAGGAGGACTGCAGGACCTAGGGACTGACAACAACCAGTTGTCAACTGTCAACAACAAGTGCAGGCACCCAAGAGAAGGCAACTTGACAGCAGAGGTGAAACAGAGGCATGGGTGGTGTTACTAACCTTCCACAGATCCTATTAAATGCTGACTTTCGTGAACAGGGGACTGCAGGACATGCTTGAGCACCTGCTCAGTGTGTGAGCTGGTGCAGAAAAGTCAAGAAAAGAGGGCAAAAGATAAATGAGAATAGAAAATCAGCCATGGGGAAAGGAAAAGGAAAGGCCAGAGGGAAATGAGCACTAATAGCATGATGTCACAGAGGGCATCATAGAGCTAGTTATGGCGTCACCTGAAGGAGCCTGGAAGGAGCGAGCAAACAGATAAAGGTTTTGAAGAGAGTGCGATGAAAGCAGAGAACTGTCAACCCTGGGAAACAGATAAATACTTCAAAGAGGAACGAGAAATCACAGATGATTCTGATGCAGGTAACAGTAGCAGTGGGTGTACTGTGTGTGATACTTGCATTTTCTCTAAAGCCTTTCGGAAAAATTTGAGGGAGCTGCAGAGCAGGTTGATTACACAGAATCACAGAATGTTCACAGAATGTCAGGGATTGGAAGGGACCTCAGAAGATCATCTAGTCCAATCCCCCTGCCAGAGCAGGAACCTAAATGAGATCACATAGAAAGGTGTCCAGGTGGGTTTTGAATGTCTCCAGAGAAGGAGACTCCACAACCTCCCTGGGCGATTAATGGAGGAAGCTGCAATTTAGTAAGCAGGACAGGGAATTAAGAGTGACAGAGGTAACAGAATAAAGACCTAACAAGAGGGAGGAGCTGCCAGGCTTAGAGAGATACAGCAAACGTTCTTATTCACTGGCTGAATGAATCCGCCACCTTTTTAAAAACACACATTTTACCTGTTGAGCAGAATGGAATACAGTTGCAAGAGCTGCAGGTTTCTATTTGTTTTATTGATTTAGAACATAATTCTTATTTCCATATTTTTTTGCAAAAGTAAATGAGAAAGTAAGTTCTCAATATTTAAATATTTCAATCAAAGGGAAAAAAAACCCCACAACTCCACTATTTGTAGGAAAAGGAAAACCAGGAAGGAATGTCCTGTTTCTAGGAATGTTGAGATGAAAACTTGTTATTTTGATTCTTATGTATTGCTTGTTATCAGTGATTAAAAACAAATCAAGTGGAAATACCAGATGGAAGGATAAATCTTGACACTTGCAAATCATTCTTAGTCCTCACTCAGTTGTGCTGACTTTTCAGTCTGGATTTCTCTCAGTTTCAGAAAGAAAAACATTTTTAAAAAGTTCCTCAAATAAAAAATGTGAAACACTCCTCCCTCATTACTCAATCACAGCTACTTTCCCCAAACAAAAAGTCCATAATCTAGTTTGGTGATATTCAAGAAGACCCACTGATAAAGTTGATAGATGGCTCAAGTCTCATTTGGGCCTCATAACACTTTGTGTTTTATGCACAAAGGTCAGCCACACTTTTTGGGCATACAAGCTGCCAATGTATTTATTCTGGAGGCATTTCCAGCAAGAACGCTAATTGTAAATAGCCCCAGAGAGACCTCATCTGGAACACTCAGTACGGTTCTCATCAGGCACTTCCAGAAATGTAAAGATCAAATTCCACAAGTATAGAATAGAGCTAATGAAAGAAATGTCAAGTCTTCTTTGCAAGAGGGCACGTGAAGGCCTCTGTCTAACTTCTCTAAATAGGAGCAAGGGGTACCAGAAAGGTACCTCACTGTAGGCAGGGCTTGATTATTACAGAAGGAGAGATATGACTGCTTGAGAGAGTCCAGCGCAGAGCCA